GTAGCTGGTTAGATCCATCAGTCATAGTTGGTTCTATGTCTTAGCTGCACATCACCTGTAGACAGAGTGTCCACTTTAGGATGTAATAAACTGCCCATTTCACAACCACTGCTCTGACAGTGAAGAAAGATGCAAAGATGTCCTTTCTTTTTTCACTCTCATGGCTACAAATAATAGCCAGCATTTGCCGTACCAGGTAATACTCCAAAAGCATTCAGTGAGTTAGCTCCTTTCATCTTCACCACAACTCGAAAAAACAAATTTTATCACCACTGACTTCATTTTGCTCATGAGACTGGGCCTCAGAAGAATAAGCAATATGTCTAAGATCACCTGCTTGAGAAAGCTTCAACTCCTGGACCAGTTTATGCTAATCCTACTCTTGAACTATATGTGACACTTAATTTTATTGGACTTTCTACAGTTTTCTCCTAATAAGGAGCCACAGAAATGCCTACACAGCTAAGCAGGAAGAATCCCTAGTAGCCTTTGAATAACAGCTCATGAAAAGCTTTTCTCTGTGAAAGAAACCCAGGAAGCATTTGCTTCCTGAGGAAATGATTGAAAAGAGAGGTATGCATTTGTTAATGGTAGGGAAAGTTCTTGTTTCTGTATCCTCCTAAAACTTGTATATTATTGAATTGATGGAGATCCAGCTTTGGTCTAAATTTGGTTGTTGTTGTTTAATGTTTGATTCTGTGGACTAGGATTAGGACAAACAAATTTATTTAATTTGCACTTTATAACCACATATTACCTTGGCTCATGGTCTTTTAATTTTATTTTAAAACAAGGCAAAACTAAATGAAAACTGAAAGCACTTTGCCACCATGAAAATCTTTGCTGGAAATAAATGGAAAATTTCTATAATTTCTGAGGGATAGGGAAAAGAAAAATTTCATTTTCCTTCTCAGGCAAATACAGCAAGATAAATAATTACTTTGGAATGATACCAATTTCCAAGAAAACAAAACAGTGGGAACCTTCAATATGGAGTTTTTTCAGGGATTATGGTTGTGAGGGGGGTTCCTGAATGGAACAAATGATTAACTCACTTGGCAACTAACCAAAGTTTGGAAGTTTGAGTCCATCCAGAGGTGTGTAGGAAGAAAGGCTTGGTGATCTACTTCCAAAAAATCAGCCACTGAGATAAGAAAAGCAACTCTATTTAGTTTTGAATTTCATACAAGGCAGAATTTTAACTAGGTGAGGTCCCACTAGACTTCAGCACTGGTGTATTTTGAGGATAGACATGACATGAGAATGGCCAGAATTACTGAAGTGACTTGGTAGGGTGTGAGAATCGCCTCTGAGCAGGAGCAGATGGTCCTTCTGGGTCCCCATCTGAGTCACTGGAGGGATGGCTTCTTCTCAGATCTGTTGCCTTTGTTTATTAAACAAAGACAGATCTATGACCTTTATTTATAAGCCAAAGGACACCTTTAGAGGACAGAGAGTTTAGTGGAGCTGAGTCCAGAGCTTGGTAGCATTTAATTTGAAAGTGGAGTCCATTGTTATTGCTTAAGTGCCATAGAGTTGGTTCTGACTTATAGTGACCCTGTATAGGGTTCCCAAGGAGCAGCTGGTGAGTTTGAACCACTGGCCTTGTGGCTAGCAGTCCAGTGCTTATCCAACAGCCACACCAGGAGTCCACGCTTGTGCAAACTCCCATAAGCTTATCTTTTAAATCCCTAAGATTACAAACCCAATGCAAATACACTTCAAAGCCATTTGTGGGTAACTGTCATTTCCATGGACCCGTTTCTGCAGTCTTTACTAAGGCCAGACAACAGGTTGGGTTTGTTTAGGAAACATCTCATAAACATTGCCTAAGCCCCAAGTGTTGTTGACCAAAACTCTGCTGAAGTTGAGATCATTCTACTTTATATTTGCCTAAAACAGGAATGTAAAAGACTGAAATGTCATCTTTGTTTATCCTGATGGTAACTTAATATTTCCTTTTCTTTTTACAGCAATATGACTGCTAAAAGAACCACCTCAAGACAGAACCACAACCATCCTTAATTTCATTGTAATTTATATATTTTACTTGTATTAATTTGTAAAACTTGCATATTCTACTTTTATAAATGTGTATAAAAACTGACATCTTTACAGTATATCAGTGTTTGAACTTAGCAAACAGACTTTTTTTTTTTCTTTTTAAGAACTGAAAAAACTAACCTCACTCTGAAGGTAATTGATACAAGAATGAGTAGGCGTCCTCAGCAAATCTGAGAGAAGCTCTGGCCTTGAGTCATGTTTTTGAGAAACGTTGCAAGGATCGAAATGACAACCCAAATACTAGTGTATATACGTGCATGTGTTTTTTACATGAAAGATTTCTAGTTGCTTTTTTTTTAAGACCAAGAACTTTTCTTTTTCTGAAAAGATGCTTTTTCCAGTGCTTATATGGTGTTTCCTATTTGTATGTCTGCAACTCTGTAATGAAGAGGCCTTTTGAACTACCACATGTTCTGTGAGGGAATAGGAAGACTGGTCATTGAAAGAGCTCCACACCAAATGAATGAGCCAAAAACGGCAGTGCTGCTACCTGCTGCAACTACTACCAGATCTGAATTGTTTTTCCGAACATGTGGAAAGCTTTTTACTCTTTAAAGACAAATTCCTAAGGATCCAATATTTAAAAAGAGAAAGGCCTGGGTAATGACACATGAAGAAGGGAAACGGAATAAAGCAGTTGGTCAGCATCATGGGAAATTAATGGCCGGGAATGAGGGAGGAGAGAGACCATGAAAGAAACAATGTCAGCATCCTGTTCAAATACAAAAATAAAAGAAAGTGTTCTCTACATTTTTTTTGTTGTGTTGTTGTTGTTTAATTTCATTAGCCTTAAAGCTTCTCCTTATTCTATTTTATTTTCAGTGTTCAGGTTGTCCTGCCCCTTTTGCTAGATTTAGGGATAATATTCCACCCATGTCTTCAGGTTTCTTTGTTCCAGAGCTCCTTAAATAAAGTACATGGGATTATAATATTAACCAGTATATAGAAATATTTTATGACAATATATTCTCAAATTATAGCATGGTTTCTTGATAATGAGTCAACATCTTCACAGTAATATGTGTACATAGGAAGACAGTGACATATGAGATCTACCAGTGGGTCTAAGAACCACTGTGCTTTTGAAATACTATTTTAATTGAAATATTTTAATATACATGCAACAGCTGTAATGCAGTATGGAAATACATGCAGTTTTTTAAATTATTGATCAAGGTCACAGTATTGGTGATGCCACTGTGGTTTGTTGTATATCACTTTCTGTATTTAAAAGAAATGTTATAATTTGGCTTTTGCTGTTTTTAACTGACATCAAACCAGTTCTGACTCATAGCAACCCTGTAAAGGGTTTCCAAGGAGTGGCTGGTGGCTTTGAACTGCCATCCTTGCAATTAGAAGTCCAGTGTTTATCTTACGAAGCCACACCAGTACACCTATACTTTGGTTGGAGATTAGTTAAAATAATGGTTGGGTTTTTTTGTTTTTCTCATCCAAGTTTAAACCCTCATTCCTCTCAGAAATCTGTCATGGGTCTCTTAGGAGTTCTTAGACCCCAGGCTAAGAATTCCTATAATAGAAGGTCCAAAAAGATAATAATAATAGTAAAAGGCCTAGTCATAAGCACACTTCCTACCCCTAAATCTATCTTTGGAGAAGATGACAATGACTACCCATGTGACGCTGTAAGATAAGCCCAAGAGGCAATCCTATGCAGGGTCACTATGTGTCAGAACTGACTCTATGGCACTTAACAACAACAACAACAACATGGTAATAATGCTGTTGTTAGCTATCATCTACTCAACTCTGGCTCGTGGAGACCTTATGTGCAAAGAAACATTGTCCAGCCCTGAATCTTCCACACACAATTGCTAGCATGTTTAATTCCATTATTGATGCTACTGCACAATCCATCTCACTGAGAGTCTAACTGAGGGTCTCGCTCTTGACTTTGTAGGCCCTCTCCTTTACCAAACATGACATCCTTCTCCAGCAATTAATCCCACCTGATGACATGTTCAAACTAGCAACTTGGACTATGTTTTGTTTTGTTTCAAAATTTATTAACTTTCAGAAGTAGACCACAAGGTCTTTCTGCCTACTCTGTCTTAATCTGGAGGCTCCATGAAAACTGTCCACCATCCTATGTACTCTTGTTGTTATTTGAAATGCCAGTAGCATATCTTCCAGCATCATAGCAATACATAATCCACCATAGTACAACAAACTGAAAGATGGGTGGTGGATAATAATAATGACAATCATTTATTGAATTCTTACCACATGCCAGTTTCTATAATTAGCTTTGCTCTTTGTGTGTGTGTGTGTTTTACCATAATTCATTTATACACATATTTTGCACATCACTGAATTGTCTTAATGATCTTAGGAAATGATGCTTGACTCCATTTTGTAGAGTCAAATCTGAGAGAGGTTAATAATGGGAAAGGACACATCTTTAGAAAATGAAAACAATGATTTGAATACAGTCCAATGTAACATGAAGACCCATGAGTTTTCACTCCTCTCTCCACCTCCTTGCCTCCTATGTAGCCCCTGCAGAGGAACTGGTGCCTTCTCACTGGAAAACATTGAAATTCAGCCGCTCTGCTTCCCAAAGGAGCACTTTAATCCGCCCCTGTGACTCTCAGTTAGTCCTACTCCACAGTCCAAATCTGAGTGACTCAAAGTTTCCCCAAGTTTGTAAATTCCGTAATAATAAATATTACTATTGCACAGAGGAAATAGGTCTTCTATACTTGTGTACCATCAAGTCGATTCTGACTCATAGTGACCTTGTTTAGGATACCCAAGGTTGTACATCTTTATGGGAGCAAAAAAGTCTCATTTTTCTCCCACGGAGCACTTCTTGGACTGAAACTGCCAACCTTGTGGTCAGCAGCCCAAAGTGTAAACTTCTACAGTACCAGGGCTTTTATATCATAGCTCTGGTAGCGTAGCGGTTACGAATCGGGCTGCGAACCGCAAGGTCAGCAGTTCGAAACTACCAGCTGCTC